AGGGAGGAAGAGGCCCTGCAGTTTCTGTATGGAGCTCGTTCTGTATGAATAGCAGCACCAGTTGCATGGAGGAAGCATAGGGATGGGTGGGGAGTGTGTGTTTTCCCTCAAGGCCAGCACTTGAGGTGTCTGGAAAACACAGAACACCTGCTGGAGATGTTTGGGAGCAATGGCTGAATTGAAGTTAGTGTTACTTCCAACCTCAATGGAGCACAAGTGCATCAGGGCACTCAGAACCAAGGGTGCTGTGAAGCCATTTGCTGGCTAAGTGCCCTCTGCCCAGAATGCAATGGGTACTAAATGACCAGCTCATGCCTCAAAATCGAGAACTCCCCACAATCCAACAGCTGGTCCTAGGGTGGTGTCCACAGCTCTCTGTCCAGCTCTCTGGAAGCCACAGTGGTGCTCAACTGGAATTCTGGTTTAACCAGCTTTTTTTTTTTTTTGTCTTTTTCCTTTTTATCGGTACCGGTTGAACTCACGACTGCCTGCTTGCAAGGCAGGTGCTTATGCCGCTGAGCTAAATCCCCAGCCCCTTAACCAGCTTTTTAAACTCTACATTAAACAATGTCATAGGATTTGCTCAAGTGAGAGAATAATAAAGGCACTTTCCATATATACTTTGTAGAGTTCGACAGATTGGAAAGCAGGTAATTACTCTGTTTGTAGATCAGTCAGTCGGGCAAAACACAAAGAAGGGGTCCCTGAAAAGGATTTGCTGTGTATTTTTAGGCTATGGGCTTTCCTACCAATGGGAGCTCCTGAGAAAGTTACCCTGGCTCTGGCCAACAGCCTCAGCAGGCTGTCCCTGGACTCCAGAGCCAGTCCAGTTCCCTTGACAGGAGGGAGAGCAGCACATGGTCAAGAGAAGCAGACAGCTGCGCTGGCTTTGAGGCAGGACTGCATTATTCCTTCCAGCAAACATGGTCCAAGTGGAGCGGTTTCCTCATTTACACACAGGTTATGAGGCTTTCTTCCTATTTAGCTCATGGTTAAGACCTGAGATGAGAAAGTACTTAGTGGCTGGGCCATCCGATTAAACCAGACAGCAGAGCGGTTTCCACGGAGCTGTTGCCTTTGCTGACTCTCCTCAGGAGCGGGGGCGGCTCAAGGCAGGATGCTCTAGCTGGGGAAGTTGCCGGCCCTGCTGGGGAGGACACTGCTTCCTGATCCTGTCTGCAGCCAGTCCCCCTCCCAGGAAAGAAAAGCAGGAGGAACCTTTAGGTGGCTTCTGCCTGTCTTCTCATCCCTCCCTGGGGTTAGGTGGACCCTTTCCTGGGGTCTGGGAAGGAACTTAGCAAGTCCCTGGACCCCTGCCGGCTCCCCACTGTGCCCACGTCCCTCTTTGCTGGGGGCCTGCGGCTGCTGTGTCACAGTCCACTTATCCGGTATGAAGTAACTCAGTCTCTGGAATTCTGAGGCAGTGTTTCATTTCTTAAATATCTTATTCATTTATTAATTTTTTTGAGGCAATATTTTGGCAACCATTTGGCCTCAGGTGTAAAGCAACATTCTCCTTTTAGTCTTAAAAGCTGGCCTTTTAATCTCATTTGACTGTCTCACAGACCTTGTTTCTCAACAGATTCTAAACATGAGAAGGGGGAAATAATTACTTAAATCCTCTTTAAACATTTTCCAAGGTAAAAATAGGCATTCTCAAGCTCTTTGACACTTTTGAACTCTTCAAAGAAACTATAAATGATAAAAATGCAAAGGCCAACTATGAATCCACTGATTTTGCTCATCACAAGCACTGAGTGATGTAACTTATATCTGCTAGGGAGTTTGGTTTGTTGACAAAATAACTTTTAATATAAGGTCCAGGGTGAGACTATGGAGAGTCTTTGAGGCCACCAGTGTGCACTGAGCTCACCCCTCTCAGTTCCCTTCGTACTCTGGGTTGGGCTATGGGTGTGGGATCTCCCTCCACCATTACACCCTCCCAGGCTGAGGGCTGAATACTCAGTACCTTACCCAACTGAATGAAGATGAAGGGGTGGTCTCTCATTCACTTATCTATGGATAAGCATATCTAAACTCTGCTGAGGTCTGGAGACAGAGGACAAGAGAGTGCCTTCTCTCCCGACCAACATCCCTCCCCGTCACCCAGTGGGATGTCACCATGGAGCTCCCCTGGCTAGATGCCTGGGCACCATCTTTGTAAGGTGGAGGGGTTTATGCAACCATCTCAATAATGGGGATGCCCACTGGGGTCTTCAGTTAAACCCAGAGAAATGCAAATGCAGGGCAAGGACTTTTCTGAGGTTAGTGTGTAGGATCTGCTAGGTGAATTATTTTGCTGGGACACATCAGCTTCAACAGATATATTGAACAGCTGAAGACCTCAAGTCAAGTGTCTATTTCCATGCTGGTGACACAGTCCTGGGCAGTTCTTTTCAGTTCTCTGAGCACCATCTCTGAGTCCATAAAATAGGGCTAATGATCCCTTCCTCAATGGACTGTGACTGAGACAATGAATGACATTATGGAATCCATTTTTTTCTCCCAAAAGAGAATGTATACTATTGGGTCTATATGACTCGTTTCACTTATCTATGGATAAGCATAACATTTTCTTATATGTTTAGAAAAAAGTAGACTAGTCCATTAAACTTATGATATATCAATTACAAGACGAAGCTAAAGTTGGTATGGGTATCAGGTTTGAGTCTGTTTAAAGAAAAAGATCAAGCAACAAAAAACATTACAGATGGTAGGAGAGTGTGGCAAAAATGTTTGAACTGGAACTCAAAGGCCTGTCTTTTAGAAAGAACACCAGAGCCCCTAAAACTCTCGACTGCCAGTAGTAGTAGCAGCTCTACATGCTGTGGCCAATGGACCATCAAACCAGGCTCCAGGGAAGCAAGGAAGGAGAGCCAATCACCAGCAAAGCTGGAAAGAGTTAAAAGAAAGGGGTCTGTGGTTTCCTGGCCCATCCCCCAGCAGCTAATCTGTCACCTAATGAAGAAGGGGCAGGGACAAGTGAGCTAGCTGGCAGTTCACTTACAGCAAACTGATTAAGAGTGTTCAACCAACAGCAGACTGTAGACCTTTCCAGAGAAAATAAATAGAGGGTAGACTGTATGCAAATGTGTTTGTCACTTTGACAGCACGTCTCAATTAAGGCATCTCGTGGCTGTGGGTAGGCTCTGTGGCTGCAGCTGGAAGGGAGAGAGCCTGCTGCATGGCTGATACTAGGGGCTTGACCTTAATCCACATGCATGCATTAAAAAAAAAATCCTGCCTTCCTGTACACTTGCATAATGCTGGCAGCCACGTGAGGGAAGTGACAAACGGGAAAAAAAGCCACTTTCATCCTCTCCAGTTTGCAGACCTGTGAAGGCACAGACAGCTCTTATTTCAACAGAGTTTGGGGTGGTTTTTTTAATTGTTTATCCCCCACCCGTGTGCATGCACAGTCTTATTCTGCATTTAGCTGGGAATGACATTAAAGCATCTCTACTTCTTGCTGAAATGGAAAGAAGGTCTTTCTCTGTTTCAAATAGGGGCTCCCTTTTTTTGTGTGTTTCAAAAATGGAATGTTTAACACCATGAAATCCCACTCCCCCCGCCCCCTCTTTCTCTGTAATGGGCTCCAAACTCCAGCGAGGGGCTCCTTTCATGGCAGGTTAGTGTGTGCAGGAATGAGGACAAAGGGAAGCAAGAAGCTGACTGTGGAATGCCATGCTGGTGACAACCAGGGGCTGCGCTTTCAGCAAACACGGCCGGGAAACTAGGGTGCGGAATTTTCCAACAGGGCCTAGCTGGGAGCAGTCGGCGCTTTGGGGGTTCCCGATATCACTGTAATTTGAAGATAATCATTAACCAAATGAGCACTGCCCATTTGAGCTTTTTCTTTTGCACTCAGTACATTTCACTTTTTATAACATCCTTTCCAGGCACAAAAGCAGAAAAGGGGTAAATCGCTCAAGTTAAAAGAGGTAGGAATGTATAATCTAAAAAGATTGATGAGAGGAGAATGATTCTTCTGTTTCAACCAAATCAGGTCTTACAGTAATAATCACAGCGGTCATTTCATTAGTTCCCTTCCTCGCTAAATTGCTCAATGCCGGTGCACAGTGTGCACTTGATAAACATCTGTCAAAAACAGGAATGTTTCAAATGTACAATTCTAGGTCCTTTACATAGTACAGTAACAACCACATTTAAAGTAAAAAAAAATCATATAAAGAATAGTTTAAGCATGCGTCAGCTAATAAATGGCTAATGAATCAGGTGATTTAAGAATAAATAACCTTGCAGATTCTAGTTACAGCTATAACTTGCTAACAGAGCCATTTCTCATAAAAAAAACATTATGACTTTTGCTAACCAAAGAAGTCAATTCAAGAGAAATAGGGAAAGGAATACAACATTTTTCAACCAAAAATATAACTATGTATAGGAAGTGGATAAAAAAATTTTAGTTTCTATGTGGAGTACAATGTGTATACTAAGGGGGTACAGGACGAAATTTCAAATGCTTGGGTTATTGAAAATAGCTGGGTAAGGAATCGGATCTGTTGAATTGTAGCGAGGGTGTCGACTCTGAGAAGCATGACTCCCAATATTGATTTTCAGGAAGTACATTAATAAAGAACTCCTAATTGATTTTTTTAAGGCTTTGCTTGTTGCCTTTTATTTGAAGGTGCAAAGAAGGGCCTGGGATGCTAAAGTGTTCTAATGAGATGCTTAGCTAACAGGCACCTTAAACACGGTGCTTGGGAGTTAAGGGAACAGCTGCATTTAATGACTTTATTCAATCGCAGAGCTAGCTGATGACCAGAGCCGTGCTGTCTCCCTTAGACTTTTGAATATTCACCTTCAAAACCGGTTTGTGTCAGATAAACAGTTCAAGTGCACAACTCTGCAGAGCTGCTTTTCCAAGGAGAGCTGGAATGAGAAACTGTATATGGCATGTGCTACTGTTTCTGCTACAAACAAAACAAAATTTTCAAACAAAAGATGCAATAGACCCACGAAAGGGCCAGGGTACATACCTGCCCAAAGTGGACTGTGATTGGTCTCCGGTCCTCTCGGAACTTGGGGTCCTTGGCCTCCACCAGGGGTGACGGCGCAGTCTTTGGTAGTGGTTCTTCTGCAGTGGGGGCACAGCCGTTTTCTGTGAAGTCCTGCAGAGAGGGATGTAGCCTGGAGTTGGTCATGGCCCTGACCCCTGTGCTCCCTCAAACCCCACGGCCAAGGGCCCCACTCAGAACTCTCCGGGGAGAGAGGATTCCAAGCCTATTCCTGGAAACATGGAGGAAATGGAAAGCTCATTTGGCCCTTTGACTTTTAAGGACTAGAGGGACCAAAATCACCTACACTAAATTATAAAGAAAATACAATTCACAACGTGAAAAAAAATCATGTATTATCCTGCTATCTTACATAGTGACTTTCATTTTTACATATTCTTTATCTTCACGCAGACATTTAAAAGTTACTTGTAATCACAGCTCATTCTTAATTTTATACGCCCCTAATACCTTAGAAGCATCACCACCGTGCTACATCACCATTATAATAATTTTAATGAATACAAATATTTCATTGAGCAGACATATAATAACTTAATAAACCACCCTGCTGCTATTAGATATTTGTTTCTAATTTTTAGAAAATTTTCTACCAGTGATACAGTTTTCCTTTCTTTTATATTATTTCTTTTATGGGAATCCCTAGGAATGAAATATAGGTCAAAAATAACAACATTTTAGACTTTTTATTCATTCTACCAAAATGCTTTCCAATTTACACCAACTACCAACAATGGATGCATTATCAGCTTCACAGTACTTGTGAGTCTTATCATCTTAAAAATGTATTGCTAATTTAATAGGTGAAAAATTAGACCTCATTGTTGTTTTAATTTGCATGACTTTGATTATCTGGGAGTGCAGAAGTTTGTTTACTGACGATGTTTCTGTCTGTGAACACGGTAAGTTCCTGTTCCTCTTTTCTACGCTCAGTCCTTCAGGAAGAGAATAGAGAGACTGAATTTTGAGTGAGGACCTCCTGACTTAGGAGATATTTAGGGAACCAAAGAAATGTTTTTAAATCTAGAAAGTTACATTCCATTTGTGCTTCTGATGAATGAAATCAAAGTGTAAAAAGTCCAATGTGCAAAAGGCAGGCCATGGGTCCTCTGGTGCTACACCTCTAATGCTGGTGTAGCAAACGGGGGTTATGTGGAACACAGATGTGGCCTAGTGGTGTAACAAACGCTGTACTTCACTCAGGTCAAGAAAGTTGCTTCAGTCTTCACAGTAAGGCAGAGAATAATGTACAGACAAATAACATTTAAATAATTTTTTTAACCAAGTAAAAACAACTTACAGCCTGAATTAAATACTAAAGGTATTCTTCAATCCTTTTCTTTGTAAAAACAAACACACACTTTGGTCAACAGGACATAGGTCCTTAATACTCACTCATTAAATCCTGCACATCGAAGACTTTTGATAATTTTTTTTTTTTTTTGCTGGGGGTCAAACTCAGGACCTTGCACTCACCAGGCAAGTGCTTGTGCCACTGAGCTAAATCCCCAGTCTATAATTGGTTGCTTTTAACTTCCTGGCTAAATAGTTTGAATGGCAGGTCATCGAGAAAGTGGATGGTCATTTAACAATCACGCGTTAGGGAGGAAACATGTAAGTTTCAAGCTTCAGTTTCTTCATATGTGAAATGGGATGTGGTAGCTATGAGAGTAAAGGAGGTATGTAATCCAGCACATATGTGTAGACAGTGTCAGCTATTCAGGAAACTGAGGTAGTGGGACATGATGCCCACCTATATTTTATATACATTGATTTGATCTCATACATCCAGCTGCCTACTTCTTGGCTTCCTTTCCTGAGTGGGTAGCTGCCTGTGGAGGCCAGCCCTGCAGCACAAGGAGATGAGGTGCTCTCGGCTTTACAAGGAGGGCTTGGATGAAGGGGCCCACAGGGGGCTGGCCGTCTCCCCCACACTAAGGCTTCCGCTGTGACCGCCAACTAAAAACGTCTCACATGGCAAGGGACTGCCCTAAGGGGCTCGGGTCAAGGGGAATGAAGTGGGTGGGGACTCCTCCTGTGCCCAGAAATCCACAAAGGGCAATGAGGTGTTTTGGATCCAGAGAGGGGTACTGAGGTTAAACTCCCAAGAGGTTGAAAAGGCCACGCAGTAACAGATTCATGACCAGTCTAGGATATGCTTGAAATTTGTTTGCATCCACAACTGTGCAATGAATTCTGGAACCAGAATTGTGGAAAGAATTAAGTTTGTTTACTAAGATACTGCTTTGTTGTGCTTCCATGTATGTGTGTATTGTGGGAAAAAATGAAGCTGCAAAGTAATATGGTAAAAGAAATATAAGTTGAAAAATTCTAGTAGGATAGCTTTATTTATTTATTTGTCTTTTTGAGACCAAAAAGGTTTGGGCTTTTCTATGGAGTTCAGGCTGGCCTTGAACTCATAGGCCAAGTTGGTCTCGAACTTGCAGAGGTCCTCCTGCCTCAGCCTTCTGAGTTCTAGATTATTGGCATGTGCCATCATACCCAGGCTTACGACAGCTATGTTATGTTATGTTTTTGCCTTTTTTGAGGCAGGGTCTCACTATACAGTTTGGACTGGTCTTGAACTCACTATGTAGCTGAGGCTGGCCTCAAATTCACAGTGATCCTCCTGCCTTGGCCTCCTGAATGCTGGGATTACAGGCATACATCACCACACCCAGCTATGATAGCTATTTTAAAAAGGAAAATCCATGTGATAGTTTTGGGGAAAAGTGTCATAGTTTAAGCTTATAAATAAAAAATGCTGTATTCTAGTTTTGTTTTTTACCATTAACTAGCTGTCTGATCTTTCAAATTTATTCAATCTCTGCAACTCTTTCTTCATTTTTACAATGGGAAATGATCACCTGCTGGGAAAATTTCAAAGCTATTGGGAGAGCGAGTTAAATGAGGTAAAACAGGAGGAAGCTTTGAAAAACGCCCCAGTACTGTGCAAAGTGAACATTAGATTCTTACCTACTGCAAAAGACAGAGGAGAGCTACCCTGCGGAAAGCAGGTACATTTCCCTGGCAAGTACTTTTCCACACCCGTGGGCTTCATTTTCACACTGAGGTCCCACAGTGATCACAAGGTGGAGAGGACCATCCCTCTTTTACAGGTGAGGAAACAGGGCTCAGAGAAGATAACATACCCAAGGCCACAAAGCTAGAAGATGGAAGAACTCAGAGCTACTGACTCCTTAATCCATAAAAACAGCAAAAGTGCAGGTATCATGGACAGAGGGGTGCTCAGTGTGCAATCAGAAGTGACCTCCCCTGTCCTGAAATCCCTCTCCTTAGGCCCATGAGACACTGGCGTGCCCTGTGCTAGTGCTCTGTGTGTCCCTGCAGAGTGAGAGTCCCTTGATGCCCTGTTTTGCTTGAATGTAGCACATGCTGTCCAACAAACCTTCGTAAAACTGAACTGAAACTTTGAAAGGCAAATGTATCCAATATATGCATTTGTCTGACTATCGAAAAGCAAGGCTACACATTCATTTAGAAGACCTAGAGGCACACAAGGTCCCTCAGTCCTGTGGCTCACCCCATACACTGTCTTCACTTCTTCGTGCCTTTGCCCACTTGGCAAAGGACTATTGCTACTTCCTAGAATGCCATGCGGAGCAGAGTAGGTGCTCAGGTCAAGAAAGAAACAGGAACAGTGCACATACCCTACTGTTTGCTAGCAGAGATCCTGCGCATAGTTAGGGAGCCCATAGGGCAACTTTGGACACTCATATTTATAGAAATTATGGTCTAAGAACTAAACGATCTGTCAGCAGAGGGTTTGGGCAGCAGGTTCTCATACCTTGCTGGTAGGAACGTAAATAGGGAATTTATGTGAAAAACCTAGAATACGCATTCCCTTTGGCCCACTGAATCTACTTCTAGAAATCTATCCTACTGAAAAAATAAGAATTGTTTGAGTTTTACCTGAGATATTTGCCTAGAAAAAATTAGGTGTCCACAATGGGATTAACATATATAGAGCTAGCATTCATAATTTTAAGTAGTCATTTAAAATACAAACATGTACAAGAAACATTTAGTGGTCTGAGTTATATTCAGGATATACGGAGGGAGAATGCAGCTTATAAAACATGACTACTTTCTTTTTGCTTCTCTGATTTGTTGAATTTTCCCCAATAAACAGGTATTTTGTTTGCCGAGAGGAGGAAACTGACCTTCTAAATGTCATTTTTAAAAAGCAAAAACATGAGGCTGATGGGAAGGATATTCCATCCTGGAGGGTCACACAGAAGGAAGACACCAGACAGAGCTCGGATCAGAGGCCACGGCGGGTGGCAGATCTGTTCGCAGGAGCCTTGAGGCACAGAGTGCTGGGACTCCACCAGACCCCATCCCTCAGTGAGAGCAAAGGTGACAGACAATAATTCTATTCCTGTCACTTTCCCTGAGCATTTTGTGGAATCAAAAATCCTGACTGAACTAACCTTCACCTCCCCGTAGAGAAGATGGGCACCGCATACAGTACGTCCCTGGACAGGAGAAACCCAGGGCCTCAAGTGCTGGAGGACAAAGAGGGCGGTGAGTGGCCTTGGAGGTACTGGGGCAGAGACGAGGGAGGAGGCATCCTGGACCAGGGGAGCAGCGGGGCACCCTTCCCACTGAGTAAGGAGGTGGAAGGCTTGCAATGTTAACCAAAGAGTGGCCTGATCAGCCTTGTGCTTCAGAGACATTCCATGAGAATGACCTGAAGGGAGATAGCCTCACACCAGCCACTTCTGAGGGGATGTGTGCATGGGAACGCACGGTCGGACAAGCTGCTCCAAATGTGTGACAGAAGAAAATGGGCAGCAGGGTGTGGTGCCACATGCCTATAGCTCCAGCACTTGGAAGGCTGAGACAGAAGGGTCACTGAGAGTTCAAGGCCAGCCTGGGCTGCATATAGTGAGACCCTGAACCAAAAAACAAATACAAAATGAAAAAGGAAAATGGACAGAAGCTCTCATTCATGGAGTAGTTACTAAGTGCTATTTATACACATTACCACTTCTAATTCAGTATAAATCTATTTCCTCTAGCTAGTTTCAGAGAAGTCTAGTAACTCACCAAAGGTCACACAGTAAGTAGCATGGAACCCAGTTCATCTGCCTCAGAAGCCCAAATCCATGTGCCCACTGGGGGGGGGGGTGTCTGCAGGCCCTTGTAGGTATAAGATAGAAGCTGCCCTGTCTCTGATGTAGACTGCTGGTGGAAGAACTATCCTCTCTACTCTGAGATTCAGATTCAAATATGAATATTGATCAGTAAACCAGTAGCCGAAGTTTCATTTCTGCGACTGAGGCAGCGGCTTATTTCAATGTGTCTGCAGACAGGGAGCTGACAGCTGCATGATAAGGTGTGAAAATGTCTTCTCTGCAAGAGTCTACCTGGCTCTCCCTGTATCTAGCGTGCCTGCTCTCTCCCTTGAATGCACTCGGAAGTGTTTGGCCAGAAACTCAAGCCAACTGTGAATTTGCTCCTTGCAATCATGGAGACTCTAAACAAGCTCGATTTGTCTTTTAAAGATCAAAGGTTTAGAAGCTTTACAAAGGGCTGTGAAATGAGCCCATTTAGTTATAACATTTTGGCACTAAGGAATTCTTCAAGAAGCACACAATTACATTCTTCTATGAGTGTCTGAGTGTTTGCTGCAGGTGGGGAGGGAGTATTGCAGGGCATCCTTGTGCCAGCCTGGCACGGAGCAGGAGCAAGATGCAATTTGTCAACATTCTGCAGCCCAGGTCTGCCAGGGACATGTTCTAGTGAAGTGCCACACCCTCCCTTAAAAGAGCGACGCTGGCTAGCATCCTTGCCATTTCTTTTTCCTCCTAATTTTGAACAAGTGAGACTTCAAAGGAGGCCAACCTATTGCAGAACTTGACCATCTCGTTCCATTTACCCAGAAAATATACCTCCATCCTTCTTTCTTTCTTTCTTTTTTTTTTTTTTTGTTCCTGGGCTGAAGCAGAGCAGGTGTGGAATAAAGCCACACTATAGGATCTATGAACAATTATTTGCCGATGGTCACACAGATATCCTGAAAGCTCCTCTTTCAGAGGCTTTGAAATCTGCAGCACAAATGAACCAGGGACAGAGAAGAGGCCCTGCTCAGTCATATTAGAGATGGACCCGCCACATACCACAGTGACCTCTCCACAGGTCGGCCCCACATTTTCTATTTGCAATTCAAACCCAAGGCAAGAGCAAAGAGGGCAAGATTGGGTTCTTGATTATATCTGGGAGGTCACCATTGCTATGCAGAGTTAGAGAAGGCCAGGTGGCAACCCAGCACATTTGAAAATTGGATCTTTGTTGGGAACTGCCTCAATTTCATAGCAAAAACCAAACTTGAGATGTCTATATTCGATGCATCTAGGGAGCCACATAGGTAGGTTCCATGTAAAGGGGAGGGGGACAAAAAGGAAGGGGGAGAAAAAAGCCAAGGAAATATTTTCCACTGCAGTGAGAGAGGTCAGGCGAAGCCAAATCCTAAATTAGTTCAAGAAAGGGAGCTGGAGAGCACCGGAGACCCAGGGCCTGCATGTACTGAACAATGCTAGAGTTTCAATTACAAAACAGCTCTTCTAAGAACAACTGCAAAATATCAAGTCTGTGGAAATCTGTAAGACCGAAGGGGGGAAAAGTGAAAATTGAAAAGGGTGCACTAATAGATCTGTCAACAGTCCGATGGTGACAAGCCACATTTCTATGAAATGCCTTCACCGTGTGTGTCACCTGAGAGGTACTGACACTCTCTATAGAACATTATCTCCTGAAGCTATTCTTGAAAAGACTGGCAGGGGGAAGAGAAGGGGAGGGAAAAATAGGCCTTAGGTACTGTCAAGGAACGGAAAGGGAGGTGGTGTGGAAGGAACGTGATCTAGATTGTTTAAATGAACCTCTGAATGAGCACATTTAAAAAGCGGGGCTCCACAGTTGTTGCAGAAAGGGATGCCTATCATGGAAAGGGGCTTTTCTGACGTCCAGATGCCCACACAGCTGAGTACAAAGATGAGGTGATATCCTAGGCTTCATGGTCTGCAGAGAGTAAATGTGACCCACGAGGGCACACATGTTGTCTTCAGAAGGACCCGTGTCTTTGCTGACCTTAGTTGCCATTGTAACTAACCAGACTCTACTCCCTGGACACAAAGGAGGGGAGCCCTCTCCCTGCTACTCTGAATCTGCAGTCAGAGTCAGCTCTGTGGGACCGGGATAGGACATAAGAAAGACATTTAGATGTTATTGACTGCAATAACATCTAAGTAAAGAATCCTACCTGCTAGCCCCTAATAGGGTACACAAGACTACAGTGATGGACTATCTGTATTTACATTACAGGGTTTGCATTTCAGGATGTGGATCTCATTCCCTTAAGAAGTCACTGTCAGCTGAAACTAAGAACTTAAATGCTTAGTCAGAGGCAAATTATTTTCCAATTAAAAGAAAGGAATCAATTCCTTCGACCATTTCAAGTTAATTAGAGGTCCTTTCTGGCTTCATAGAAATGAAACTGCTTTCAATTAAAAAACAAAACAAAACAAAAAAAAACTGCCGAGATAGACAAAGGCCCTGATTACAATGGTACATTTGGGGGCACTGGGATAATGAAGTGATACCACACATCTTTTGGAAAACAAAACACTTGTTTTAGGAAGGCAGCAGAAAGTACTGTACTGAGAAGTGCCCAGATGCTAGGAATCGTGGATCTGGAATCTAATCCTGCCTCTGCTCAGCTCATACACATAACTGGGCCAATTACCTTACCTCTGAAACACAGTCTCTTAATTTACGAAACTGGAGTAATATAGTACAGAGATTCAGCCTGGGGGAATCTCAGCCAGGAGGCAGCCAGGAGGCTTTCACACAGTTTTACCAGTAGTCTAAGGAGGCACACTGCTCAAACACAGACTGCTGGCCTCCTCTTGTTTAATCCTCCATGGGAGAGCCTGCGGCACCCTCCTCCAGCCCACCTGCTGTGTAGTCTGTGTGGGAGACCCATGCAATGGGGAACCAGGGCAGTCCTTTCCCTGGAGCTCTCGGTGTGGGTTACCCCTAGCTCAGAGGTGCAGGGTGCTCGGAAGAAAAGGTGGTACCAGGATGGGGTGGGGGGACATGTCAACTTCTGCAAATGCCTTCAAAACCCCGGCCTAATGGGGTAGGGAGGGGACGGACCGAAAGTGGTGACTCTGAACTTGCTTGCCTTTGTGGGTTTAAGCCACAGTCTTAATGTTATTTGAAGACAGTTTTTTGTCTGTGAATATTTATAACAGTGTGAAAACTCCCGGACAGCTGGTAATGCATTTTGAAGTGTGCTAACAACACTGTATCAAACAGCCCGCTATTGATCACATCCTACTTTTTTGTGGCCACGCATTTCATACACAGTGCTTATACATTTTGAATAAGAACTTCAAGTACCTTTTGCTTCAAGCGGTTTTTCACCTCTTTTATTCCCATTTTTGCATGATCTTTTGCCTGCATGAAAAATTAATTTAAGTTAAGATTCCCTTTCTGTTTCCAGCAGGGACTATGCTTGATTTCAGTCCGTCGTGAATCACCTTCTCTGATTACTAGAAAAAGGAAGGAAAAATGGGATCATCAAGTTGAAAACATAATGGCTCTGAAAACAAATACAATGGTAAAAGGTTAAAAAAAAATCCCTTAAAGGGGCTGGGGAGATTTTATTTTTTGCATTTTGATGGCACAGATTCTTTTTCTCCCTTCTCAAGTCTTTTCTTCTGTTCTCTATAATTATTATCTCAGCAGCCTGCTGACAGCTACCAGTCAGAGTAGCACAGCAGCTTTACTGGCTGCAAGATCTGGAATATCCATGACATTTCACCAGGACATGGACTCAGGACCTGCTTTCAGATCAGGCTGAATGGCCAAGACAGACATATTGCTACATGTCTTTGGTATGTCCCCTAAATCTCATTTTGGTGGACATCCTGGCTTTTATTTTATGTCATTTTAGATCTGTTTGTTCTGTTGGCAGCCACTTACTCTACTTCAAGAATTACAATTTAAGCACAAAGAGGACTAACATAAAAATGAAAATAAAACAAAACTATCCCACGTTAGTGGCTTGGGGTCAAATTAGCAAGTGAGAGAAATCACAGAGGAAAAAAAAATACTTGAGGCTTGTAAAAGATGGAGCAACAGGCACTATTTTCACTGTGCTATTGGCATGAGTCTCACAACTAATGCGCTTCCTACAGATAGCAATGAGCGAGATGATGAAGAATCTGGGACAGAAATTAGGAGGCAGCCCCACCACAGCATCTTTCAGTAGCCTGCAAAGGTGCCGTTTCGCTCCAACATCGTAATGGGGACACACGGGAAAGCTTTGTCAGGACATGTTTAGGCCACGCCTCTGGGTCTCCAGAATGCGTGGAATAGCCTGACTTTTAGCCTCTTGGTCTGTATTTCACAAACTGAAATGGTGGCCTCCCATTTCTTTACTACAGTGACTGTGAGCAGCAACACCTTAAATTTAAAATGTCACTGACCTGGTCATAAAATATCAAGAACAAGTAAGCCTTGAAACACTGAGACCATTAGGAAACAGGGCAGCAGCCCCCCGAGTCACCTGTGTAATGGAGGATCAGGTGTACTTAAGAGACTGCTTGTGCTGAGGAATCGATCTTTTGGCATTGCGAGACCAAGACTGGTACTTACGAACTTGTAGACGGTCTTCATGGCCGGATTGGCTTTTGTTTTTACGGTATTCAGAATTGCTCCGCTTCCTTTCTATAATAAAAGACGTCAATCATTGGCAGAGCCGAAGGTAGCAAAGGCCAACACCAATGAAGACCTTTTCACTTTAGTCAAGGCAGGCAACACTGCAGGAGCGTGGGAGGTGAGTAAAGAAGCAGGCCCAGGAGGCCCTGGACCCGTGGCAGCGACAGCTGGGACTGTGGCAGAACCGCTCGGGGTAGGGGTGGGGGAGGGGTGTGTGTGCAAATGTGCCTGTGGGAATGTGTCTGGGTGGTATGTAGGGAATGAGGAGTGCGACAAGTAACTGAGGGAGGCTCCAAGTTCAGAGCTCCGCCTGCTGTCCCAGGCTGTCTGAGGCAAGGGTTTTCTCATAGTCACTGGTGGCTTTTCACGAATTGAGTTACCACGGACAATGGTCAGGGAGTTTCAAAACCACTGACTCTCTAGCTAGCACCAAGGTGGGGCAGAAAACAGGTCCTGATCAAACAGGAGTATCTGGAAACACACTGCCCCCACCCTGGGCAACTTCCTTTCCTCACCTGGGTTTTCTGTGTTGTTTTAAAACACTCTCTGGTAGGCTGCCTTCTTATACATCTAAATCTTGAGAATATGAAAGACTGAGTGGCGTCAATGTCAGCCAGAGCTGTGGTGAAAATCCTCCGCACCAGTGTCTTGCTCATGCTCTTTAGGAAGTGGGGAGGAAGGTGCAGAGCAACGATTTTCCACCACCCAAGAGAGGAAGTGAAGGCAGCCGAAGCCATCTTTCTGGGGCTGTCTGCAAGCCTGTTCTTCAGTCTCATCCTTGAGGGTGTGTGGTAAGGACTCATCTGTCAGGTTCTGAGGCCTGGAGCCAAGGGAGGCCTGATCACAGCCTTGGAAGATTTCTGGCCTGGGAAGTGGGGCTCACCAGAGCAGGCGGTGTATCTTGGAGACACAGAAGGTAAAGTGACATCTGATCTAGTCCATGAAGGATGAGTAGGATGTGGAGGACAGGAGGATATGATGTCCTTGGGGCAGGAAATAGCACATAAGAAAAGCATGGAAGCTGAAAAATCATGGTATATTTTGGGAGCACCAAATGGTTACTATACAGTGCTCAGTGTATCATGGGAGGACACACAGTGAGCCTGGGAGGCCAGACGGGGGCAAATCATGAAAGGCCCTGCATTCCCAGATAACAGGGCTACATTCTGGAGGGTTTTAATCAAATGCCTTACATAAGCAGATTTAGGGTGGTTTGGAAAGTTAATCCAACTGATTTGAGTGGAAAGAGACTGGAACCAGTGGGTGTATCACTGCATAAGAGACAGCAATGCAATTACTGGCTTTAACTTTTAGCAGTTTTTGGTAACTGTTTGCATTAGAAATTTTGAGCTTTAATTAAAAACATTACAATTTGACCTAGAAAGCATTCTGTGTTGTAGGACAATAGGAAATTTTCACCCACTCATTTATTCCATACTGCCTTCCAAAATTACTCAGTATCCTAGTTAAACGGCCCTTTGGAGTATTAAAACTCCCTTTATCAATCAATCAACAAGTCCTTATTGCTTGTCTCTGATTTGCCAAGTGCTGTGTTTGGCCATAGGAGAAGAACAAAGGAAGTCTTTCATCAAGGAATTGCTTACTCTCGGCCAACTGCAGCCACTTCCAAGGGACCTGCCTTGGCAGCGGTGCTCTTGGCCCCAGAGCAGCAGAGAACACTTATCGCATTATGCTGGAGTTGCCTGTTTACGTGCCTGCCTCCCCAGCAAGATGGGGGGTGCCCCCAGGGCCAGGCCAGTGTGCTGCTGCCTGGGCGTCCTGAGTACCAAGCTAGTGCCCAGCACATATTCAGTTATAAGCTAATGGAAAGGCAAGAATTTGAATTCTTTAGAGTTTTTAGAAACCTAAGCAACTGGCTCCTGACCCAGGAAACGGTTCACACCAACTGTGAGATGAAAAAAATCTCCCAGGGATGTGTTCTCCATCTTCCCAGGAGCCTTTGCTGTGAAAGATACTATAGAGCAGCACAAGGGACACACTTGTGTTTTCCCCATGCTGATGACAAGTGCACTGGCCCTAGAAGGAGACTCCCAGAAATGTTCTAGGACAACAACATTCTGTTTACTAGCCTTGCTTGACTTCCCAGAGAGGAAGATGCCTGTCTTGCCTGGCTTTAAGACAAAAATCATCTTCAGCTGAGAAAATGGAGAACTCTAGGCCTCATGGCAGCTTTGTAGGTGGTTGGGGATCAGAGGGCAACCACGAAGCCAACGAGGAGGCCAGGTGGCTCTGAACAGGGTACACTTACCCGGACCGTGGAGAGCCACTGATGGTACAGTTTATCACTGCCTGGAGGAAAGAGAAATCAGAGAAGCTGCAATTTAAAGAGTTCTTTAAACTGCCTTCGGCATGCAGGACTGGGAAAGTTCAGTCAGGAGAATGGCCCAGAGGCTCCCATGTCCCGCTCTCTGAAGGAGGCAGCAGTGAATCACAGCCAGTTTTCTCTCTGAGTTGTCTGCATCAGCGCCCTGACTACCAACCCTTCAAGCCTTCGAACTGTCAACTGGGGTGAAGGTAGACTGCTCAGCAGTCCCACCTTGCCTCCCTCTGCCTCTCCATCCCAGGCTTCCATTCTGAACCACCTTCTGCTCTGGGGCTCCCAAACCAGCATTCTCTTGGCCTCAGGCTTTTGTGATGCAGTTCCCTTGCCTGACCCTAACCCCTCACTCTCTGCCTGGGAAACTCAACAGACAGCCGAAATGGCATTCCTCTGGAAGCTGCTGCTTCTCTTCTCTGAACATCCCTTGAGTACAGCAACACACCCTGAGAAGCCCAGGTTCTCTGACACACTGTGAGCCACGCCTGGGCGCCCAGTGTACAGGCCCTACTGCACGGACACTCGCCCTCCAGGGTACTGGACTAGTGATAGGGAAGGAAGAAGGAGGTGCTGCTGGTCATTTCATCTGATGCAGGTCAAGGGGTCTTGTCACCAGAAAGCTCTTTTAGAAGCTGCAAATCTAGTTTAATAAAGCCTGTCTTCTGCTCAGAACTCATACTCCATGGTTAGATCCCGACTCAAACTCTGCTCTTCTGGGAAACTCTCTTAGCATGCAGGGAGGACCACAAAAGCATAAAAACCTGCTCCTATTTTTCCTATGCTGTTTTAATTTTTACATCCTTACTTATGCATTCCTCTTTCCTAATCCCCAGAATTGGGTTTCCCATTGTTTGTGAGCTCTGAACACCTCAGTGCTCAGGAAATTCTTGTCAACAATCTGCCATCACTGTGCATAGACTCCATACTGGTTTTACTAATTGTGTTCTTTGTGCAGCATGGGCTGGCAGGGCCTGTAATATGAATAACTGGAGACTGCGCCTGGCTCTGAGTTGCACACTGTTTGCAGATTATCAGACCTGCATAGCAGTAAGAGGGACTAGGAATATGAGTGTTACCATTCTGCTTCCAAAGTCTGAGCCTATGAGCATTAACGCTGCTGTCAAACATGGAACCTTCAAGTATTATCTGACAGTACATTCACTGTAAAAAAATGGGAGCTTATGGCACCTGGGATTCAGGAGACACAACTGGCAAGCAACACCATCTTGGGCCTCTGATACTGCCTCTGATAAATGCCTGGATGATCCCTCTTGTTTTAAAGAGACTGAGTTGGCAGTGATGATCTCCACAGCCTAAAGAAACGTTTGCTGGGCCAGGGACTGTCTTGGGTGACTGCACAAAACTGTTCTTCCCACTTTGATTTCATCTCAGGAAGAGCCCTGTGAGGCAGGCAGTGTCACTCTCAGTATATAAAGGGAGAACTCAGCTAAAAGAGAATTAAGAGACTTGACCCAGGCCTCACAGCTGGCAAAGAGGAAGGGTTCTGATTTGAATTCAGATCCCTAATTCAGTATCTTGTGTGCATGCCCTGCACCACTACACTGGACTCTGTCTATGCAGAAAAGTAACCAGCCCCAGGACAGAGCATATCACAGAGTCCAATGTGCATTTCACCAACACTGCAGAGGAACTTCCCAACCATTTCAAGGCTAAGGTGGAAATCAGTATCTTCCCAACCCATAATGAAGGAGAAAATGAATCCCTGCCACTGCATGCCAGCAACACTCTTCTCTAGAGCAGCCTACATACCAGAAGGGAAAAAAGGGGCTTCTCACCAGCATATTCCCCCATGTTGATCTCCTCTTCAAAAACATCACTGAAACCTTCACCAGAATTGAGGAGGTCTAATCGTCCATCAATAAACTAGAGGGAGGGAGACAGATAGCAATCAAATGTATAACAGCTTGTCCACAGAACAGGAAAAACCATTCAACTGGGCATCGTGGTGTACGTCCCAAGATCAGCCGTGCTTTCCAGGACAGGAAGCATCTATAAAACTAAGCTTTCTAAATGCCTAGCTGTTTATACAACAAAATGAAACAGCACAGCACAGCACTGCACAGCACAGCACAGCACTGCACAGCACAGCACTGCACAGCACAGCACAGCACATTTGCTAAAGGTCTGTCTGATAGCTGAGCAGTCTCTTTACCCAATCCCCTCTCCTGAGCTCTCTGGCTTGGGTTCCCTCCTCGCCTGCAGCCTCAGAGCCTGGGGTAGACACAGTTGCAGAAATTCCTGCAGGGGTCAGACACTGGACATGTGAGGCTGCACACCTGCTTGAAGAGCTGTAGCTGTGTGGCATTTTGCAGGAACTGTCTCATGGCTCCGGAGCGATAGTGGGACACAAAGGCTTCCTCGCAGAAGGTGATGGGTTCCTCCTGGGAAATGGAGAAACAAGAGGGTCAGAGGCATGGAGGGGAGAGCCCTTGGCACTTAACATCCTCGTAACAGAACTTCCACACCTGCTGACTACTAATTCTGATTCACGAAGTCAGTGATAGCATCAGAATCACTCTAAACCACGGCTGAAGAAGCTGTTTTGGGGAGAAAGAGTCAAACCTCAAAGTCACAGAGGGTGTAAGGAAGCACAGGGAGAATCCAAGGTCAGATTTCAAGTCTTCATTCTTCCCCTTCCATATCAGTGACAGTTATACCCCAACAGCAAGCTAGCAGCATGTCTTCCAATGTGACAATTTCCAAACTTTTCTTTTTCACTTTGAAGAATAGAGCCCTGGGTTCACATAGAACCTCATGCAGAAGGAGCCCGGCTACACAGGCAGCGCTCAGCTGCTCTGCTGGGAGCTGAGTGCTCCTTGCTTGGTGGCCTTCTCCTCCGCTCCTGCCCCCGTCAGGCACCTTGATTTTCCACGGGCACCAGCCATGGAACACAGTTCGAAACCCATTTCCCCAGTGATCTTAACCTATACCAAATTATTTAAAAACAATTATAGGGTGATGAAAAATAAAATTTATCATCTGGTCAATTTTCTGCATAAGCTGTTTGATAAGGAAGTTTGCTTTCACCAACTACATTTTACAAGTCAAGAAGATGATACCCTATGCTTTAAAAATCCGAGTCTTGTGTAGTCAACACCTCAATTTTTCTTTGAACACATTTGGAGTGCTTATCTACACAGAGAAGTCTTTAATTTCAGTAGTGTATTCTCGACTCTGAAAGATCAGACTTTTCCATCTTGAGCTGAATTAAGGGTACCCCCACCCCCTTCACAGACTTGGTGGCAAACATAGAGATGTTTGAAGTTCCACTTTTATCCTGTTTTAATGAGTTACGTGAGTGTTAAATTTACTGTCTAGCTTCTGCAAGTTCCAAGTGTCCCTCCTGTTTCAATCTAGCCAATATTAGCTTGCAACTGGGAAGACTTACTGCATAGGCTTCAAGGATGACCCAAGAATATGTGGGTGGGGGAAAAATTTAGCTTCATACAGTTGTGCCCTATCTAATTTTACAAAGCATCTGAGACAACAAGGGAAAATTCAGGCAGAAATGTATAAAATGGGAATAGAGTGTCTAGATATGTTGATCCTATATAGTCTCTAAAATTTAGTTATAGCATTAGCTCTGAGCTTCCAGGCTGTGGAAGCAAGAAGGAAAACAATAGAAATTTTGTATTGTTTTTGTATAAGAGAAGAAAAAAAAAAAACCAATTTCTAGGGAAAAAGATCTGTTCACAACATTTAGTACAATAGCATGGCTGCTATGTTTGTCACTGAACAGCTGAGAGAGCGGCTACTGATGGGCAACAGCAGTCTCACCAGAATGCCACTCCTGAGGCTTGGAAGTTCTGCTTCTCACCTTTGGGACCACGGAAGGGTACTTATTCTCTCTGCAGGCGATCTCATCCATAGCACAGCATCACTCATACACTGGCAACTCCTGCCACACACTGTCAGCTCACATACTTTTCCCTATCTCCAACCACACAAGTCTCTACTCCACCTAGATGGGTCCCTGTTACCTCAAACTTCAAGTCATCCATGCTCCCAGTTGTTATCTCAGGACCTCACCTCAAATCTGCTAGTTACCCTATTTGACTTCCCAAGTTCTTTCCATTGACCTATGCAGGGTCACACACTCATTCCCTGCCCACTGCCTATGACCCTGGTGCAGGCCGGGACTCCCACTTCTGTAGATCCCTCTCATCTCATTCTTCCTAGTCTATAAAAGTTCCACTGGCCAGAGTGAGTGAATTCTAAGATGCAGATTGGATCACATCACCAATTCTCAAGAACTCCATGAAGACGTCATCTTCTGGGGACTTGCATGTCTGTTTGTTTCCACTAAGGCCAGATGCTCCCTGCAGGCAGGGATGGTACCCATTTTGCTCAACACTGCACACTTCACAATGTGTGTGGCACACACAAGGCATCCTCTGTGGCAGGGGAAAAGGAATGCTCCTTAGCTGAGCAAGCAGATTCTTCCCCAGACAAGCTTAGCTTTCTTTCCCAGAGTCCTCCTGTGTTCCTTTGCCTCTGCTCCCTACATACTATGTTCACTCTTAACTTTTTTTTAGTCCCATTCTTTCTGCCTGGACTATCCTCTCACTAGGTCAGATCTGGAGGTGGCAGTTGCTCATCCCTGCTCAGACAGTCTTCCCCGGTGTCCCCTCTGATCAGGAGCTTGGGAGTCAGGGCTGTACTCCCGAGGCACAAAACAGAGCCCAGTCCAGTTAGAAACTCAGGGCTGTTAGTTAGAGACTACTGTGTGAGCCTGACCCTGGTTCCTGCTGTGGGAGCCTTGTGATCCCAGTGTGGTGGAGACTGCCTGGCCTGACAGTAAGGTCTTGGAATACCATGCCAGGTGAGTGACACTTGTGTCCAGTGGGTTTAGAGCTACTCAGAGGAAATGCTCATTGGAGTTGTTAGCATTCACCCCTGGAGCTTTGGCCCAGCACTGCCAGGAAGATATGTGCTAAGGGACCGATAAATTTGAGTCTGCCACATGCGTATGTAAGGGTAGCCTGAGGCAGGACTTAGCCACAGGACAGCAGGAAGAATCTCATCTTTGGGGAGACAGGAACAGTTTGGACCTGCTATGTGCTTACTGCAGGTGACATCCCCCTGGATCAGATGTCTCTGCCATAAAAATGGACAAAAGAATGTGGACATGGATGGGAAACCTTCAGGGGAATGTGACGGAAGAGGATTTTCCTGAAAAAAGCTTAAGCAGTAACACTGACTGTGTCACTTAGACATGGAAACAAACATTATCATGCTGTGTGGCATCACTGGGGGCAGTGGGCAAAATGTCCACGGGAGTCAAAAGAAAAGGTGAATCCTTCTGAGACTGCAGGTCAGACAGTATGACAGGAAAAGGATGCTTTTCAGCGAAGCTCCGTGTGTGTGTGTGTGTGTGTGAATGGGAGTTAGGCAGGGGAAATCCTGCTGGTTCAAGCCAATTCTTCCTTTCTATGGGAATGATAATAATCGTAATATACTTCATCTTGTCACAGTACTGGGTGGGGGTGGGGAAGTACTGTGACATATGTGTCACAATTCTTTCATCAGTCTGAAACTTTACAGTGGAATATTTCTCAGTTTCAAAAGGGAGGGAAGCAATTATGCTCAAAGTTTACAGAGCAATAACTGGGGTAATGGGGTGACTTGCCCAATGAGGCACAACTTGGAAATGGCAGAGACAGGGTTCAGTCCCTGGTGGCCTTCAAATCCTAGGTGTTACCACCAAGCCCCTGGGCTGGTATAGATGCAGCTTTGCTCTGAAGCCTTGATTCTGACTGTGGGACCCCTGGCACCATTTGGAGACTGGGGAGGGGGTGGGTGTTGGACTTAACAACGGAGCTCTCAGCATCAATCCTCCAGAAACTAACTGCTCCCCCAAAGAAAGCCAGTTGCTGGGAAGGTTGTTAACACCACAGGCCCAAGGCAAGATGCAGACCACCCCCTTCCTTTGTTCAGCTCCACTGTGGAGCTGGCATGGCCAGCCCCACCCCATTCTCCAGCTCAGATCAAGTCTTTCCTTGTGAAGCACTGATTTAGTCCTCTTACTATACTGATTGAACCCTGTGTCTTCCTAGGTGACTCTCTAGGTGCGTTGGGGGGTAGTGGTGATGGTGTTCTGGCTGATGACAATATTAATTCTGGGGAGTCAGGCCGTGAGCATTTGCGAATAGGTGGCATTAGTAGAGTTTTCCATCTATGACCTGAAGGACAGTAAAACACAGCTGCTCAACTCTATCTAGGACTTTGCTACAAAAAGATAAGTTTTACTGTGGGTTATCTTCTTGACATATGGAATCAAAAAGCTCTGTCACTAATCAGTTGAATCTCTGTTACAGGTGAAGCTGTCATTCCAAAGGTTTCTAAGAATTTCAGAAATAAATAACTTTATTATCCACAGCACTGTGAGTACTAGTATAAAAAAACCACTTTTTTTGGGATACTGGGACTCGAACCCAGGACCCCGTGCTTGCCAGGCAGGTGCTGTGCCACTGAGCTATATCCCTGGCCTGAAAAACACAACCTTCTACCAACTTTTCAGCAACTTTCCTTGTGCTGCCAACCCACACTTAAAGTAGCAAAACCCTTATTTTTTTCAGATTTAATTTTTATCAAAATCTTACATGCACTTTTATCATGAGATCCTAAGGGGAAAAAAAAAGAAGTCTTATCTTTATAGATCTTGCTTAACATCTAAAAAACATTAATTTAGGAAGACCCACCCATACAAACATTTTGAAAGTAGCCCCTATGTGCCAGGTTCTGTGTAAAGGAAACAAAAGATAAACAGAATAGGTAAGTAGATTATAGCCCTTCCAAATAATAGTAACTGGATGAGAGGTGGAGGAGGGACTAGATGAAAGTACAGATGATCCAAGAATGTTAGGAAGTTTGTGTTCCTTGCAGCACTATTCACAATAGCCAAAAGATGAAAGCAACCCCACGGTGTAGCTACAGATGAAGGGATATACAAAATGGGGAATTTACACACAATCGAGTGTTTCTCAGCCTTAAAAGCGAAGGAAGGAATCTGACCCATGCCACAGTACAGATGAATCGTGGAGATACTACGTTAAGTGAAATAAGCCAGTCAAAAAAGAAAAATTCTTGTGACTAAACATGTCAAATTATTTGAGACAAAAAGTAGAATGGTGGCTTCCAGGGTCTATGGGGCAAGGGGGATGTGGTGCTGATTGGTGGGAAGTTTCAGATTTGTGAGATGATCAAGTTGCAGAGATGGAGAGTGGTGATGATTCTACACCAGAGTGAATGTACCTAATGCTGCTGAGCTGTGTTTTTTACATGGCTAAATGGTAAACTTTATATGTACTTCACAACTAGAAACTTTTTAAATTGTGAAAACTTTAATCTTAAAAATGATAGAACATTTTATAATTATGGAATCTGGGTACCTGGGAATTCCTTGCCTTTGTAGAAGTTAGAAAAATCCCGTAAGAAAAGGTTTAAGAGCTTCTGTTTACTGAAGAATCTTGTTTGGTTCAGGGAACAAACAATGACAGGTCTAGGTTTAGGCACCTTCATAAAAACTTAAAAACTGTTTTGATTTGATCCCTTTACAGCAACTCAACGTGGTGGAGCGTGTAACCTGGAGTCAGAAGACCTGAAATGAGCTAGCCATGTGACTGCAGGTGACTCATTTTTCTTCATCTGTGACAATCATGTGTTGTTGGACTATCTCACAGGGTCACTTTGACGATTAAAACAGATTGTACAAGCATTTTCCCATGATAGGTTTCTAACAAACAGACATTCATTTTGAGTGAAGACTGGATATATCATGGGTGGCAGTGTGATACGCAAGGCTCATAGCAAAATGGACAAACAAGAAAAAAAGTGACACTGAAGTTTAAAAGCACACTAAAGATCTAAAACTTTTTTCTTTTATGATCTCTTTCTAGTGTATAAGTGTTTGTTTACTAGTGTGTGTGTGTGTGTGTGTGTGTGTGTGTGTGTGTGTGTGTGCTGGGAATTGAACTCAGGACCTTGTGCTCTGCCAGGCAGGCACCTGCACCACTGAGCTATAACCCTAGCCCTGTTTACTGCTTTATGTCATTCTAAGTAATGAAAGAATTACTTTCTTTTTTAAAATTTGGTGTTAGGGATTGAACTCAGGGCTTTTGTTCACGATAGGCATGTGCTCGACTGCTGAGCTAAATCTCCAGCCCCAAACTTAAAATTATTAGCATTAATTTTCTTATCCAAATTTACATTAGGCAATGCCAGCTTTCAATGTTAACTCAGATGAAGTATCTTAGTTCATAGCCAGTACATGTATTTTGTTCTTACCAGGCAGTGGAAATACTGAATAAAACTTATTTTATTTCTTGCTACAAGCACATTCTACATAAACTCTCTGTCTTCAGCTTACTAATGAGATGTGAAGAGAACTATGATTGCTCTCTATTTCCCTTTCCCAAGTGACATGGACAAGTAGTATGGCAGTTTTCTTGGTCACTTCTTTCCGAGAACACCACTGTCACTCCGCTTTTCAACTTTGGTTCAAAACAAGTGCTGTTTCAGACCGAAGTGTGGCCTCTTTGGGTTATCGATGTCCCACTTACTCTGCTACGGACAGTGATGTGTTTACCTAGCGAGTGCTCTCGGTCCTGCTGATCTCCCACACACCACGGGCCCCTGCGATTCTGTGCCACGCGGCACTGTGACGCTGCAAGGCTGGGCTGGCCAGGTTCTTAGGAAGACAGGACTCATGCGTATCTCCTTTCTCACATCCACACTCCACTATTTCACTGGATTTCATTCATGAAGCACAAGGTCAAAGGCAAGCATTAAGAATTTTAAGCTGGTGACAGCAGACCATTAAACCAGGCACAGCCCTGTATAACAATGCAAGTCGCAGAGTGGTGAGGTCAGCGCGGGACACATTTCCTCTGTCTGGAGCTGCCACTCCAGCTCAGTAGGGCAGAAGAGCCAGAGGCCAGACTGTGAGTCCACACAAGTGGGCTTTTTAAACCCCTAAGCGTGACACTCCAGGCTCTCTGTGGCCTTCCCAGGTGCCTTTTCCTTGCTTGTGACGCCCCATCCATCTGATCCACGCACTCTCTTCTCCAGAGATTCCTTCTACTGCAGCCATGCCATGTGCCCGCAGCACGGGCTTCCTTCTTGTTACATCTTTGCGATGCCCTTAGGTGATGCCCCAGATCAAGAGGGCCCCAGTTCCTCTTCAGTGTGTCCACATGAACATCACCTGTACTGGACATGCTGTCCCAGAGCACTGCAGTCTCCCAGAGGGCAGGCTCTGATCCATTGTTACTCTGGGAGAGCAAATGGGGGACTGAGACACAGCAGGACTCTAGCTCCAGCTCTGTTCCTTTCTGTCCCTGTTACCACCTTTGACAAGTGACTATGCCTGTTAGATCTCACCCTTATCATCTTGAAGGCAGGAGAACTACATGCCTCACGGGATTGCTGGGGATCAAGCAGGGATGAATGAGATGGTGCAGGTCAACAGTTCTTAGCCTAAGCTATGCCTCAGAATCACCAGGGTGCTTTTAAAATCCTCAGTACCAGGGCTGCAGTTTTAAAAACTGACTCTAGTGTAGACAAGGCTGGGAGCCACTGACAGAGGTGAAAGTGATCAGTCTCGACTAACCAACAGTCATTTTTAAAACTTAAAGAAAGCCAGGGAATCTGGTCCCATCTATCAGCAGCAATCCCATCTCAGTTCTGTTTCCTTTAAATATCCCTAGAGCTCTGGCTTGTGGCCTCAGCTCTGCTCCCAGGAAGGGAAGATAAAGGTTGTGCTGGTTAGAGGGTGTCTCCTCACAGGTCAGCTGGGGGTGCTGCAAAAAACAGGCTGCATTCCTGCAGAACACAGAAAAGGCTTAAGTGGAATCTGGCCTAGAGCATCCGAGTCCTTATCTACGGGAGTAAGGAAGGAAGGAGAGAGAGGCCAATAGGATTCCACTGCAGTAACTTTGGGTTGGCCACAGGCAGGCATCAGGGTAAGAAGAAAACCAACAGCAGCTGAACACCTGCTCTGCCCATGACAGCCTGTCTTACACTCACTGAGCTGCCAGAACTCTGAGACCTTCATGTACCATTTGCACTTCTCAGAGGAGGAAAGGATTCTCATATTGGGGAAGCGTTTTGTCCCAGGTCCCAGAGTTCACAGATCTAACAATTCCTAAGTCCAAGTCCACTCTTCCCCACCCTAAGACATGACAAGGACAAACTGGTAGACTTGGGAAGGAAGGGACTGCATAGCTACAGTCAGATGACCCTGGCGGGGCTGGGCTGAGCCACTTAGGGTGACAAGATCAAGACAGTTTTCTGAAGCATTTGTGCAGCAGCCAAGGCACGCCAGGGACATATTCCCAGCCTGGGCCCCTGTCACTATAACAAGCCCTAAACAAAGAATCAATGTCTCATCGCGAAGCTGGCTCGCCATTCAGGTGATTTAAGTTAGGGGAAATGCGGGTGTCCGACAAGAGCTACTCAGATGATTTGCAGGGGCAGGGACGGCCAGGCTGACAGTATTTGCCCATTCTGGCCACAGCTCCAGTATTGACAGAAGCCCCCACACACTCTCGCTAGATTATAGTAAAGACATTCAAATCACAGGCGCGTCAGCCCACGCCTCAGCTCCTCTGTGCCAGCAGCCCCTTCCTTCTGCATTAACCGAGACAAACAGGGAGAAGTCAGGAAACTCTGATTAGCGCGGGAACGCAGATGAGCGAGGAGGCCGGTGGAAACCGAGGAGACACAATGAAGCTGGTCTTCATGCATACTAGCTCAAGATTTTCCTCCCCTAAGAGATGCAGATGGGAATCAGCTCTTAGAGGAAAGCAGGTGCAGTGATTAAAACCAGCTACCGCTTGCTGAGCACTAACTCTATGCATGGTGGTTTTTACATGCATTATCTGGCTTATTCCTCCTAGCAATGGCCCCCCCATCCCCCATGCCCTGTGAGAGAGGTATTATGATGATCTCCATTTTACAGATAAGGACACTGAGGCTCCTCTGCCTCTGAGACGGGAAGTCACCTGCCAGAGGTTGTAGAGCTGGTCAATACAGAGCCAGAATTTGAAGCAAAGTCTGCCTGGCCTCGGGGGTCATGGAACACTTTATTATTTCTCTTCTATTAAGAAAGATAATCACAAGATTGCATTTGACACATGAGCTGCTATCTGGAGTTGTTCTAGAAGCAATGCAAATAAATGGATGAGAGGGCAGACACACTGAGAGTGGGTTCAGGAGAAATGATTGGGAATCATGGTCCTACTATAGGCCTGCAGGAGCCTCCATATTCTTACTGATCTGATAGAAATAACAGAATCTACGTTAGCCTCTGAGTACTGGGTTCATTAGGCAGGGAAAGTCCACAGAGCAGCTGAAGTTCAAGGGCAAGGCTAACGTGACAAACAGGGACCGTCCCAGTGCTGGGGCCCAGCAACGGCTCTCCTGGGATAGAGACCAGCCAGGATGCACAGACTGACTCAGCCACCTGGGTAGTGTCAAAAGTACTGGCTGCTACCAGGGTCAGATTCACTCCAATGCCAGTCTCAGGAAAGAACCTCCCTGAACTGAATGGACGAGGATTTTAGGTCTTAGATAAAGGCGCACACAGTTTAAGAGAGGTTCCTAGGACTACAGAGGCCTGATGGATCTCCAGAAGAGAAAGAAATCAACTTGTAGACTCATCAACAGGACATCCAACATCAGCTAAAGCAATGGGAATCACATGAGATCACAAGAGAAAAGGACATGGAGATAAAACTGCATGAGCACAAACTGGTCAGTAGAGACAAGAAGTCCCACCTCTAACCAAGTCAGCTGAGCATCTCCTTGGGGATAATGGCTCTTGGGAGGTCCTTCACAGCAGTGTCCCCATATTGATAAGGCTTGTTTGTTAAATCCTTGGTTCCTTAATCCATTACCACCACTCTCTCAGATGTCCTTTGTCCCTGCTGTCTCCTGTGTCTGGCACAGGTGGCTTTGGTAGGAATTTTCTGGTTATGAACGAATGGCAGCACTGAGAAGTGGGAAGAATACAAGGAGAGTCGGTATCTGACTTGGCCTTGGTCCTTTCTCTTTGTCTACAGTTTCTTCCTCTCTGAAATGGGAGAGCTGGGAAATCTTCAAGGCACTTTCTAGTGCCAACACACGTGGTTTATTAGACAGAGATGAGGTTTCTCTCTCCGGGGTCTGCCATGGCCTCCATACAGGACTGCTTTGCAGAGCCCTCATGCATACCGTGCAGAGGTAGAAGGAAAAGGAGCTTGAAGGGGACATAGGCTCTTCCATCCACTGTGTCTAGAGCTCAGGGCAAGTCCCTAACTCCTGAGAAACCCTGATTTCTCTCTTGTTTTTTTGAATCAGGGTCTCAGTATGCAGTTCAGGCTGACCTTGAACTCACTTTGTAGCCCAGCCTGGCCTCAAATCACGGTAATCCTGCCTCAGCCTCCTGCGTGCTAGGATTATAGGCACACACCACCATGCCTGGCTCCCAGTTTCTCATTTTTGATGTAGGGGTGCAAGTTCCTGCTTCACAGAGCTGTGTGAGGATTGCAAGTGATCCATGCAAAGTGCATAGTTGAAGGCTTGACTCCAAGTTGGGGTCACAGTTGGTCAGTTTTTTACCCCTAATTCGGGCGGTTGTCTGCCCACA